ACCAAAAGTATCTCCGAACAATCTCGTCCATTGATTATATCAACATAGGATCAAAACGATTTTCGTTATAAGTAACATAATTAAACCCATCAATGGTCACGTATATCAATACAATCAAATGACATAAATCAAGTGTGAATGTGTAGCATGAAATTACATATAATGTGATTCAAACATGTCTATTTCCAACTGATCCTACATTACTCTTTAATGAGATCAACCATAAAAGTGAATTGAATACTTTATTTCTGAAATAAACCAAATATTCATGAATAAAAATATGTGTCTAAAATAGACAATATCGGAATACAAACTTTCACTAAACTGACATATCATCAAAAGACGCAACACTCATATGAGTATTACGCTCATGAAAGACCTTGAGTAGTAGCCATTTAGTAAATTGATCAATTATTATGGAGTTTGTCCTAATATGCTTTATAGAAATCTAATAACTCTGAATTCTTTCCTTAACAACTATGAACTTAATATCTATAAACTTTGACATCATCAAGTTTCTATTGGAATACAAGATTGAATTGTCACAGAATAATTTAAGTGATCTTTCAATTCCATGTAAAATATGTAGCCCGGTAACAATATTTTGCAGTCATATTCTATGATCAGAATCAGAATATCCAATGATATCCAATTGGTCTGATTTTCCTGAATGTGATCATGTAATCCTTAATTCTCTATAAATACCGATTAACCTAATGCCTACTTTCCAAAATTTCATCCTAGAGTTATTTAAATATCTACCTAACATTACAACAATAAATACTATATCCGGATGTGTGTAAATCTAATATAAATTAAATTTCCAACTGCTGAAACATAATGAACTTTGTGCATTTTCCTTTATTTAAGTTCATCATTGGGGTATTAATTGAGACTAAAGCTGTCTCCCTTAATTGTTGTAGGGGTATTACTTGATTTTCATATCTGCATTACAAATCTTTTAAGAACCTTATTGATATAACTCTTTTGTGGTAATCCAAAAATACACCAAGAATA